AATGACCGCTAGTACATCCTGCTTAAAATACGCATTAAAATCATAATATATGAAAATATTATTTTGTATAAAATTATTATTACTACTGTGTTTATTTCCTTTGCATTAGCATAAAAATCAACGATTATTTTAGAGATAGGTCAAGGTTACAGGTACTTTCACGCCAACTTCTCATCGTCTAAATTATAATAAAATATTAAAAACGTTTACGACATTAATTTCGGTCATTTCTAATTTTAATTCAGCGAATACGCCCGAAATGTTTATTATAGCTTGAAAAGAAATACTTGGTTAATTACTTAATTTTAATTTTGTTCCGAAAACTTATTAAAATTTCCTGTTTAATTAGAATAAGTAATAACGAAGACACTTAAATAGTCGCCGCTTCGATAAGCTTTCCTTAAGTCCCTATTTGAAATCTCCTAGATAATTTTACGTACACAAGTTGATATCGATTTCGTAAATATCTGGACCGGAACGTAACCTATCGACCATTTTAAAAGTACTGTTCAATCGTCCGACCCAAATGATTTAATGGCTATAATATCATACAATAAAAAACACGCTGGAAATACTATCGAAGCACTGGTAGAAAATTACTTTGATAATTGTACAACACAATTTTAATATACTACATAAGAATGACCGTGGCTTTCTACTTTTTAAAAGTAATATCGGAAAAATAAGTCTTTCTATTGCACGAAAACCGATTTCGTTTTGTGTATGATTGATGACAATTTTTTTTTGCATGGCCAATGCAAGTCATAAATGCATTTTCTGATTCGAAACGTCATACTGAACGGATGGACGATAAGCATAATTTCGTAACGAAAATAATCGTATTTCCTAAAAATAGATGAACTCTAAAATATAACGATAAAATTTGTACAGTCTTAAAAAATGCTCGAGGTTTAAAATTACTGGAGCATAGAAAGACCAGCAGAATGGTATACTAATCGACCTTAATTAGTAAAATTAAAAGTAATTTTAACATTAATTTTTCGTTAATTAATATTTCTAAGTGCCTCATTTTTAATATAACTCGAAATAAGATGTAAAACAATTTTGTTTCGTATAAATTTCGATAAAGTTAATTCGGGGATACGCATTTTATAAACAAAATTTCTGGTTCATTTAATTTAACCTCTATCAACGAATTTATTTTCACATTGATAAGTAAAAAAGTATCAACATTTTTTCGCCAAACAGTACTTAAAATTATTCGCTTCTTGTAGCTTAATTCATTAAAAATATTCCACGAACAACAGTCAAATAATAAAGATTTTTTAATGCGTTAACTGAGTATATCTCGACAATATGCTCGATAAAATTCTAATCGGTCCGTAATATCTCTAAGTGTTGTTATAATAGCCATTTCCTAATTTAAAACATACAAGTAGCAACGATTGTCAATGTTAACAGCTGCGAGTTAACATCCTAATATAAAGCATGGCACGTAAATGAGTAGGCAATGGTGTAAAAACAAAATCGACGTTTTTAACAAATAAAATACAGAAGAAAAAACTTGCATTTATAAACGAACAAAAACGAAATATAACGTTTAACGACGTCAACATTAATGGCCTTCGGTACTATTTACGTCTCGACAACTCTAACGATATTATTATTAGTGTAAGAATACAAACGACACCAGTCACTGGTGCTAGGCGATCGACATTGGTGTTTATTAAACGTCAATTAAAAACGTTAAAATCGATCCAAATAACAAAACGAATACTTACAAATAACAAAAAGTTTAAAACGAAGAATATATACTTAAAACACAACATTGTCAGTGCTGGAAAAACTAAACGTCAATCACGTCAACTACATTCCACACCAGCAAAGAAAAGCGCTAGCCACCCAGCTGTTCACCTCCGTCTGATAGAATACGTCATTACACGTACGTCGGTCCCTTTTACGTGTCTATTGCGCCTGCGTCGACGGTTATCGTTCAGGAACAACTACCGTTAACCCAATATCCTCGTGTCTTTTTCTTTGAAATTTTATCCTTACTACCGTACGGTGTTTTATAAAAATGTTAAATGACGCATAATCTTTATATATAAATATCTTTAAAAATAATATAAACATTTACACGTTTCTTCGACTATTTTTCATTAAACGTAAGGATTTACGCAATATTTTTCGGTTACTCTGCAGTTTCCACAATGACCTAACCTGTTGTCATAATACACCTGTTTTAATGACGTTCCGCTGCTTAAATATTTAAAATCTACCGAAAATATATTTGACTAGAAATATTTTTTTCATGTTTCCAAGTGCTTTAATACCGGAACGAGACAATTAACCGTATGACGTTATATTTAATTGCTCTTAAAAACTGATGATAATTAATTTTTGAGACGTCAGCTATTTATTAAAGTAGGAAACAAATTAAAAAAATACATTGTTAAAAGGTTTAAGTAGAATGCACAGTACATATATATATATATACGTATATACTGTATATACATATACAATTGTGAATTTATTCATCCACATTAACTTGTTAATTTCTATGCACAGGTACGGAAGTAATTTTCTTTTAATTCGTCCCAACTTTTATTTATTAAAATTGTTATTAGTTTCGAAAAGTTGTTTTTTCGTTTGGCGTGGGAAGAAATAATTGAGAGAAAAATTATTATTATTATTTGTCTTGTAGTTTTATATTATTGTTAAACAAGATAAAATCGACTTTAATTGCGCAAGACATGTAGATGTTTATCCTGTCGTAAATATTGAATCGTCAGCGAAATCATCGCCATCTGGCGTTTTGTTTTATTACGATTATAAAATGATCAGTATATTTATATATACTTATATATGGTATTTCTAAGATGTTATTTTAACGATTGCACTTAATACCTTTCCTGTCCAACTTTGCAAGTTTTTATAATTTAATAATTTATTTTATTCAATACATAAATAATCTACGTTTAGCATTACAAAATTACTCTACGATTTTACCCAGTGAAATTTTAAAAAAGAAAATATAATTACTTTTTGTTCGGGATAAATGCTTGTTTTTCGAATTGAAATTTTGGAAGAAAAATTTATTTTGGGTTAATTTTTATTTCGTAATTTGTAACATTCGAGGATATTCTCAAACTACAACAGGAATTAATAATATAATTGCATCCGTCATCGCTCGAAAAAATTAATCAATAATTCTTATTAAACCGTTTAATAATATAATAGTTTAAATTCGGAATTCCTCGTGTTATCTTTAATATGACGATACTGCCGAATCAAATTGACTTATTTAGACAATGAAATGTGCTTGAATTATCTCTCTAGAATTATGTAATATTAAAAAAACCTTAGATTTTTACCCATTATAAAGCTATTGTTTTAAATTGTTATAGTTCTACGTTTCTAACTAAAATTTTTATCTTATATATTACAAGTAAAACCAACACATTCGATAACTTTTTAGAAGCGGTTAAACTTCCTTTTAAACGTATATTTATTGTGACCATGTCACAATTAAAAATTGCAGCGGAGCAAATATTTATCATATTTTTAACCTATTTAATTTAAAATATACGTCAGCCACCTCAAATTAGTAGTGGCTCCGAAAGGGATTATATAACTGGATGTTACGTTACTTCAATTCAAAAATTTTCCTCCGAAAGGGATTATATGAGGAGGAAAATTTTTTAATTGAAGTAACGTAAAATTCACAAAAAAATTGAATTTTCACAAAAAAATTCACAAAAAAACACAATTGAAAATTCACAAAAAAACACCATTTTGTGAAGTTAAAACTTCACAAAATGGTGTTTTTTTGTGCTGGCTGGAATCTTAACATTTAGAAATTGTTGCTACTTTAGTAGCAACAATTTTTAAATGTTAAGATTCCAGCCAGCTTAACGACGATAACAGGCAATTTCATTTTAACGAGTGTCACATTCTGAGTAACGATTCAACTGAAATTAAAACTAATATCCAAAAAGTTAAAAAACCCGAGCAATCTTGTCAATTTGCAAACTCGTTCCATCGATTTTTACATTTCATAATTTAAGTTTCACCAAGTCTTTAAAAATGAATCTAATATAAGTCCGAATAAGTCGACACCACAAGGGGAAGTGAAAATGTGTCGAGTTATCCGATACGACGACTAAAACAAAGTTAAAAAAAATGCAATGTAGCTCACTGACCATCCATCACTGGCTCTAAAGTTGATTTCTAATCCAAGTATCGCAGTGATTTCCATCGCTTTTTGTTTCAGTATCGGCCCTGAAACAGGAAGATTCGATGAACGAACTTGCTTTAGTCAACTTACCAGAGCATCTTCGACATTTTTGTTCGACGACTTTTCTGGTGTTTTTCGAGACAGCCGCGACGAAGACAAGAAAAATTTCTTAAATTTCCTTTTCTTCTTCAGAATTCCCACCAATGTTGTTCTTGGAAGGTTTTCTTCTTTGGTAAATTCGGCTTGCGAAGTTTTATTACATTCAAATTCAGAAACGCTTAGGCTGAAGGAAGAACTTTGTAAGTTTCAGATACTCATTTCTAACAAAAATTTGAAACACTTGCTGCAAATGACGCATGAATGAAAGGTGAGAAAACGCAAAATCGGATTTTGCTCTGTGGTGGGAACTAACTTTTTTCAGAAGGGGAGTCGACTTATCAGACGTCTAAACGAGTGTGGGACAAAAGAAATGTCGATTTATCCAGCGGTGACGAGTCAAAAAAACTGATTCTCAACATCGTTTAAACATTATCGCGTTTGTATGCCGACCGGGATCACATAAAACCGACTACTTAACCGATGGTGTCTAGTTAGTTATACCTATGACGACTTATGCTCACTCGACTGTAACTACAGTTCATTTAAAAAATATTCATGATCCTACGATATTCGTGTTACTAAAAGTCAGATAAGATTGCTTTACATGTTGCGCTTTTTCGCTAAAGACGCTTCGCTAAAGTCTTTGTAGGAATATTTTGCCAGCGAAATGAACTGACTGGACAAACAAAAAATTATTAAAATAACATTTTATTGGACATATTAAAAAAACGAAGTTTGTATTTTAACATTTTTTTTGTAAATAAAAACACCAAGCGTTGCTTAAGAGGATATAAAAACAAACATACGATTTCCTTACAATATTTAGGAATGGCTGAAGTTTTCCAGTAAGGATTATGGTAAAATCTGATAAGCTTTAAAACATTCAGACGATACCTTTCAACACCTCTTGACGGATCCCACAAAACAGACAAATAGCAATAACTATTACAGCAGTCTGTAAAAACAACAAAACAGTTAGAGTTAATTTGAAAAAAAACGCTAAAATTTGATTCTAAATAATAATAAAAAAAAATCACAATTTTAAAAAAAGCCAGGTCAGTTTACCTGAGTGATAAATGCTGCTATGGCTACACCTCCTACAATCTTAGCTTTATCCTTTAGAAAAGAAAGCATAGCTTCGGTGCAACCCTGCAAAAATTAACAATTCGAAAATAAATCATTTTTTTAGATATTTTTTAAGAAAATAATTTTTCCAAAACAAACTTTTTTATAGTAGTCAGGAGGATTGGAAGTGTCTGTGCACGATAGAGGAACCTCGATATCCTTTTCAATGTAATCTTGTGCAGAAGTAAGACCGCAGCATTTTAACTAAACATTTAAAAAAAGTTTAAAGTCAGATATCGAGAGGACATGGTATTTTATTTCAAATAAAAAAAATACCTTGTGCTGTATTAAGTTTAAAAACTCCGCTAAATCGGCGTTATTTTTATATTTTTCAATGATGTTCTCTTTCAAGTAATTATCTAATTTATCTTTCATCTGAAATATCGATTTATTCAAAAAGTTTTGAAAAAAGAAAAATAAGTTTTCATTTATTCAATACTCACGGCAGAATCCGAAGCAAACTTGAATACCAATGCAGCGACCACAATTTGAAGAATTAATAATATCACCATTATGACTATGTACTACAGTAAGAAAAAAAAGCAAGTTTAAATGGAGAAATTGATATGAAAATTAGACACGTTTCCCGTGTTGTGTAAAATTTTTACTTATTTATTTTTCTTTTGGTCAAACTCATGATAGTCTAAATGTTGGAGTGTTTCCTACACTGCATACGTGCCATTGCGTAGTATTATGCAGAGCCAAATTCAAATAACTATAGGAGGAAAATGTGCGTTTCGTTTGAGTGCTGTTCGTATATATAAAATCAATTAAGAATTTCCTGACTATGCCACACGTGTTTAGTACGACAGCCTTCTGTACTGTTATACACTGTGCGTCCTGTCTAGGGTTTCTTTCCCGGGATTCTCGCCGTTTATTCCCTACGAGAAAAATCTCGGGAAATTTAATTTTCCCGGGAAATCTCGCATTTCAATAATAATTTACCATGTCAGGTTTTCTTTTTATTATTTATTATACGAAAAGTTGCATCTTGAAGACTCACCTAAGAGAGAAATTTTGAGGTTTCTTGCTGCATATTATTACCTATGTTCTACAAGTCTCTACTTGTTAGTTCATGTAATATCTATGTATTGTGTTTGCGCATCATTGAACAGCGGAGACTCGCTGAAAGTAAATATCACTCATCGCACTTTAGTTTATTTTTTATTTCATCTTTAGAAGTAAAATAGTAATTTTTTCGTAATCATTAAAACTCCCAATGAAACGCTTTATTTTACTTTCATCTTATAATGTAGGAGAATATAAATTAATTGAGCCTAACGTGTTCGTATGGGTGAGATTGGCCCTACACTTTTAGTTACATACTAGAAAATAAATTAAATTATTCAAACTTATGATATTCCTGTGTGATCTTTTTTATTCATATAAAATTCTATTTTACTATCTCATCCCGGAATTTCCCGGGATCCCGGGAAAATAAATTATTTTTCCCGTAATCCCGCTGGAGGCAAATTTCCCGGGAAATGAGAAACCCTAGTCCTGTCGTGTAGCCCTAAAACGTTTAGTTTATTAATATTAGAATTATCTTAATACATTTGCTTCTTTATAAATACGAACAGAAAAACGAGGGGGAAAACCATTTTAAAGATAAATTTCTGTTTGTGTCCTTGTCTACTTGGACAAGGTTTATTTATAGGACTTACTATACTGGTATAGTTTCCTATTAGCAAGTCCTATAAATAAACAAGGGTACAAAACAAACTGCTAAGAGCTAGGACCTAGATGCAAAAAGAATTAGCCTAACATTTTAAGATAAAATTTACTCCCGCGACGATTAGCTATATAATTGGCTAATTGTTTTATTTTTAAAAAAGGACAGAAAACGAAATTTGCGCAGAAGAATTTTAAAAGAGTTTTCTGAAAGATTTCCCTGTCTTAAAATTCGTTCAGTTTCCGTAACTATAAATTTTGATAGAAGAGGAGCAAAAGATTCTTTAGTTTGATATTAATGTATTTTTGTCAACGATTTGGCCACACAAAACGTCCGATTCATTTTTTGGCATTAAGTTTGAAACTTAGAGAATTATAATAAAACGGCAATACTCACGACGCAAAGCATACACTTATTTTCGAACCACGCTCCACAGCATCCGAATAATCCCAAAATGATTAGAAGAACTCCTACCGCAATAGCAAGATATATCGCCGGGCTGATATTACTCAGAGGTAGGCGAGATCTTATTTCGAGTATTTCCGGATTAACACTGACCAAGATCCCAATTATTGTTAAACAAAGGCCTAAAATCTAAAAAACAAAAAAAAGGAAGTATTTAACCATCCATTTGTACCACCGCAATCTTTTAACATCGAATGATTATCATTAAAACAGAAAGCACTTAGGAATAAATTAATATTTTGGTAAGTTAACGTAACGAACAGCATAAAATTCAAGAAAATTACAGGTGTACTTACCGTCACAATAAAATTTAGTATGAGAAGAAGGTATTTTAAACAAGACATCGCCGTTGCCATGTTTCTCAACGTAAGACGTAGTGGCACTAAACGAAAATGAAATTTAATAATCTAGCGATATTGTTGTTTTGTAACAATCAAAATGGCGGTTTTTTAGTCGAAAGGGAGTTGTTTGGTCCTCTTATCTGTCTTTATCTTTTAATAGCAAAGTGCATCGGTACATTTCATTGTCGGAATAGGGAAGGGGCGATTTTATGAAAATTTATTCGTAATTTGCATTTTTTTCACGTTTTACTGTTTTTTATTCAATTCAAATTTTAAAACAAAAATATGTTTTGTGAAATTTATAATAAAATTATAGAATTAATTTAGAAGTTAGAATTATTTTAATTTCAATGAAAGCTTGTTAATAATGAAAATAAAATAAGTAAATAATGATTAATGGCATTGTTAAAGTTAAATTTAGAAGTAATATTTCGTCAGATATATTGTTCGCTATATATATTTCTGACGAAATATATAGGCCTATAGCGAACAATATTTATTTCTTATCATTTACATAAATCCATAAGCAATTAAAGAATTTATTCATTTATCTTAACTTTTGTCGTTCTGATAATTAAAGTAAATTCAGGCTGAAGATTGTGATTCCGAAAAACTAAATAATAAATGAAAAGAAATTACAGAAGCGTGTGGGCCATAAAACAAAATTTTAATTTCGAAGTTTGTATTAAAAACTTAATAAATAAAGTTGGTAAAGGAGAGTGAGGCCTTACTTAGAGGTATAGCCCTAGAAGGAGAAAGGGGTCAGGAGGTGGGATAAGGAAAGAGGGAAGGATTAGGGAATGATAATAGGAGGGGGAAGAGCAGGAGTTGCGCCAGCTGGGATTTGTTTATTAAAACATAGAATTACATTATTACAATTTATAATGTTTGTACATAATGACTAATAGATGACACACCTGAACGATAATTTGCGCCATGATTGGTCTTACATTACAATTGAAGGCAAAGGATGGGTGTTGAAGAGTGATACGAGGAAGGAATAACACCCTTATGGAGGTATCCGAATATGTCATAGAAGAATGTGGTTCTTTGTTGCTGTCCTTGAGTCCTGGAGTTATGGAGTCTGACTGTGCCTATTCGATGAGTTTGCTGGCGTATTGTCTTCAGTAGCAGTTGGGATTTGATAGTCTGCTAACTTTAGGTTGTTGATGAATTTGACGAATTTGATTTGTAGACAAGTGTATTTATTATACACTTGTCTACAAATCTCGAGGAATGCGCTGAGGTGGCAGGGCCAGTTGTGCCCTTTTTGGGTTGTCAGGTCTCTTAGTTGTTGACGATACTGATTGAACTTGGTACAAGTAAATACGAGGTGAAAAGGGTCATCCCTCTCCCTTACTAGACAGTCACAAAGTCCATTTCCTTTCTTTAGGAAGTGATGTAGGTAGCACTTGAAATTGCCGTGGGCTGTGAGAATCTGTGTTATAAAATGAGTCGTATTCATGAAAGTGAGGCGGGACCTACTGTTGACGTCTGGGAGGAAGTTGTGGGTATTCCGTCCAGTGTGGCTATTGTCCCAATCATTTTGCCACCTTGTCATTGTGATGGCGGTGAGTTCCTTTCTGAGGAAGGAGATGGGAACGGAGGTGTAGGAGTATGTGGAGGCTACTTTATGAGCCTTCTTTGCCAGATTGTCCACTGTTTCATTTCCGATATTGCCGGAGTGATCCCTGACCCAGTAAAACGTAATGTAAGTCACACCGACAAGGGCACTTAATGTGTCCAGACAATTACTTATGATGGGGAGTTTACGGTTTCCTTTTTTTTATCTGATGCAGGGCTGTTTTGCTGTCACTTATTATGTTGATCCTTTTCTCAGTGAACTGCTGGATATTGTCATGGATATATCGGAGTGATTTCCATATTGCTAAAGACTCCGCTTCATTCACAGGGCAACGTATGTTTGTAAGCGGCATTCCAAAAGAGTTTCCTTTGTGGTTCCACCAGGCGAACAGCTGTACCGACAGAGTCTGTAGCCTTGGAGCCATCCATGTAAAAACTGAGTCCCCTCAAGGACTGAGGTGGATGTTGGACAAAATTGGAGGTTATGCTGTTTGCTGGGTGGATAAAGGTCTCGTCCTTCTCGATGTCAAGGCCACAATTTGCAATCTCGTCGATCAGGGGTTGTGTTGCGTCCGGCAGATTGTGATTTTTGATCATTTTGTGGATGGTATCAGAACTGATGTTTGAGGAAAGCTTGCCAACTAAGAGGTTCATTACAAATTTTTGGATGATCACTAGGTTGACTGGGATCAACCCTGCAATCACTAGGAGAGCGTCTGTGGGAGCAGTGCTGTAGGACTTAGTGATCGCTATTGCCGCTTTCCGCTGAACCGAGAGCAGTTTCCTTCGGTTGTGGATCTTTTTACTGCGTACCCCCATACGTCACAGCACTTAGTAAATATAAATCATTACTATCTTCAATAGCACATTGGCTTGGCGACATTCAAACGTTTCTGGCTTCGTTTATAATATATTATATCGCATAAAGATTTTTCAGTCTAATTTATTATACACGTATTTCTAGTCGATACAAACTTTATACATACTCAATCGAACATCAATATATCAGCGCGTATATCATTTAAGATTTAATTATTTATAAATTATAACATCGAATTAAACGTCAAATATTCTCCTTATTACAATTACCAAGCCGTAGACTTCAATAATATTATTAAACAATCTTATTTGCTGGAATTTACAACCGATAAGAAACAATACTCCGAAAGATAGAGATCATATCTGAATAAGTAGGCTAGCCGGATAAAACGGAGATTGGCCAATGTTCGAATTCGTATCAATTATTAATAGATACGTCTTACGTAACGGAAACCGATAAACGCGTATTATACAATACGATAAATGATAAATGCGGAATGACGAAAGAGTTTGAGAAGTGAGAATTTAAAAGTAGAAAAATGTAATTTGCATTCATAACTTAGTGTACCAGTACGTGTTTACTTGAAACTTCCACTACAATTGATATAGAGAAGGTGCCGAAAACCATTTCCGCCTTGCCGTGACAAACATCCGGCCCACGCAGCCTTATCCGTGGCACTTCTTTCCATGGCCTGGAGGCGAAAAATCAGATAAAGGCGGAAACCGAAGGCCGTTAAAAATTACGGACCGGGTCACACAAGTTTTGGCCCGAACCAGGCCAAACGTCGGTTTGGCAGAAATTCCTTTGGTGGAACTTCGCCGTCACCCGTTATGCGGAAAGAGTGTTAAATTTTACAAGACAACAATAGTTTGCATTAAGCAAACAATAGTTACATGTCCCGAAAGTTTATTAATTAACATCACCGCGATAAGTTTTCTTCAATGAATTCCTTTCTGTAATAAATGTTTTAAAGCTCATTTAGTGAAGGATTCGAAACGTGTGTGGAGCCTCACATTGCTACCATTTATTATCTGAAATGCATTAACAATAAATTTTTTTGAAACATTTAATCAGACATAACTTTTTATCTCTGATTATTAGATATGAACCCATCACTAGTCTCCACCTTGTAGTCTCATTAAAGCTTGAGTATAAAATAATATTACATCTGTCCCATTTAAGTAATATACCTTTGGAATTACTTTATTTTAAAATAAATATTTTTATTTTGTTGTATGGCTAATTTGTTTAAAAATTATTATTAATATTATATATAGATCTATATGTTACCACTAAAGTTAGAAAGTCGTTAATGTGTAATTGCCTATCTAATCTGCAGATTAACTGGCATGATCCGTTAAAGTTGTGAAAACTGTTCCATTTCTCAAATTACCTAGATAATGTGCAGAGTATCTAGGTAATCCGCACATTACCTACTAGGCACTCGGTAAAGTGAAAATAAGATCTTTGCCACAAATAAATGTGCCACAAATAGATGTGCTTGTCGCAAAATCCAATTGCTATGAAATTCAAAGTGTCATCAATCTTTAGACTGCACTAAGTAAGCACAATTGGATAATGTTACCTATGGTGAGTAAAATGGCGGCTCGTCTCTGATTTCAGCAAACAGAAGAAAAGAAACAGTGGGGACGCACGTTCAAACCTAACCTATTCTAATAATTTGGTTGGTAATAATTATGGTAATTTATTAGAATAGGTTAGGTTAGGTTAGAACGTGCGTCCCCACTGTTTCCTTTCTTCTATTTGCTGGAATCAGAGACGAGCCGCCATTTTATTCACCATAGGTAACATTAACTGCACAATTATATCACGCGATCACCAGAAAAAGTATGATAACTTTATTATTTTTCGTCTTCGGTCCAAAAGTAGGGTATCGTTGAAGTCGTCTCGATCCCCTCAGTTCAGATAGATATTCAAAGTCCCGCAATTCCAGAGGTGGTTATCTATATAATAATTTCCCTAATTGTATTAATATTTTAAACCGTTTAATTTTTTGTATGTTTTTTAATTGGTTGATGATTGATTCTATCAACTAATTTGTTGATTGTTTGATTGTATTAACTTTTTTTTAACTCTTTCCGCCCTGTGGGCACTAAGAGGGCCTCTTTTTGCACATTACCTAGGTAATTTGAGAAATAGAACAATTTTAGCAACTTTAACGGATCACCCTAGTTAATCTGCAGATCAGCTAGGTCAGTGTTTTTCAACCGGGGTGCCGCGACACCTTATGGTGCCACGGCGCCACGATTGGGGTGTCGCAAAGTTTAGAGCCTTTAGACATTTTCTTGGAAATTTACTTAAGTGTAGTTCAAGATAACTCATTGTCAGTTCTATTTTGCTACGAAATATCTAGTAAGCAAAGAAACGATGACTAATCGCATGTTAATGTAATGTTCTACGCCACGTGTACGCACGACTTGGTTTTCATGTTCCCAGTTCCAGTACCAGGCCAACCACCAGAGAAGAACGACTTGGACACTTATGTCTTGTATATGTTTTAAAAAGCGTTGCATTGTACTTTGAAAAGCGTGTGGTTTCAATCACAAAGTAGGTGCATATTACAATATTTTCATAGTATTCAAAAGCAATGATGACAAATAAACAATTTTTTATCATTTTTTTAATTTAAATTTTTTAAATTGATATGAAAAAGAGAAGAAAAATATAATGAAATATTTATTTTATATATGCATCAAAATAGTATAAAAAACGTAACAAAAATTGTTTATCAATAAAATGATAATATAAAATGATGAT